TTTGTCGGTAGAGGAATTGAACTTGTTTTTGCATATAGTTTTAAAAATAAATATAGTTTTGAAATCAACTTTTAATTATCAATATATACAAATATTAGTTATGATTTACTGATTTACAAGCAGTCCATAATATTAACGAATGAATATAAATATACAAATATGCCGGTTGTTTTGAAACAAAATTGAAACTAGAATATGCACATGCAGAAAAAGAGTTTGCATCATTTTAAATTTGTGTTCATTGATTAGAATAGAGACTGTAGAAAAAACAATACTTTTTAAACTATAACAACTAAAGTTAATAAAAAAAATCGTAATTGTGGAAAATAATTTCTATGTAAAGTTTGAAACCCCCATTCTGCATTGTGTGTGAACAGCAGCTTATAACTGTTGACACTCATCGCTAAAAACAAATTTGATTAACCAGATTCTACTAGCCGACATTCTTGGCCAGAGTGAAAGGACATTGCAGTTGCAATGATCATCAATCAAAATCGAACATACATTCGGCATGTATTTCTGGTTGTAATTCCACTGGACGAAACAAAATTATCTATAATTTACGAATCGGGGTTGTAATTCACACGGACAGAGGGGAATTTCATTATCGAGCGAATTATCATTTATGGCCGTAAATGCATTTACGAAAACCTAACTGTTATTTACAGCGCGAGAGTCACATGGATTATTCCAGGATCTATGATGGACAACTGTAAAGTATTTATGGTGTCAATCTACAATGGACGACCGAAAATCTATCATTTACACCGTAAATCTATTATTGTCTAATGATGTGGTTTCCATGTTCCATACAGCAGCTACATGCAGATATTTTTCTATAGGAATGAACAAATAGTGTCAATGTTTCACATGAAATAAACTCATCATAGATACAGGGATTGAAATTTTATACGCCAGACGCGCGTTTCGTCAACAAAAGACTCATCAGTAAATCTCGAATCAAAAAAGTTAAAAAGGCCAAATAAACATTCTTAAACTAGATTTACTGCGAGCAAAGTTCACAAAATGATACCTCGCTTCTTACTAAGTCCATGATTTGCTTAGGGAAACCCCGGAAATCATCCAGATGAAGGAATTAAATAGAAGACGCCAAAGTATATCATGTGAGAGAGATTCGGTGAAAGTTTAACACAGTTATGTCGAGTAGTTCAGGAGCAGTTATGGAGGCAAGGACGGGTGAACGAACTGACGTGCTATCCAAGCACTATATTTACCTCCGTTTAGAAAAGAAAGAGAAAAGGCGAACGATACACACATATCTAGCGAATTGATTGCTTGTTACTAAAGGGCTACTGGTAGCAAATTGTTTATATAATAATAATAATGTCGCGACACAGGGAAATATGAGCGTATTTTGGAAGGAACAGAATTATTCGTGGTCCATTTACGTCGATTGGATGCGATATCTTAAGCTATGTTTTCATTTTTTCAGTTATTTTAATGTGTCTACGTCTTTGTGATTAATTGTTTGCTGACTTTTGTCCTCATAATTATGTGGAAATTTGTGCTGACGTTTGTCTGTGGATAACTTTGAGCTGCCGTTTGTCTTTGTGATTAACTTTTTGTGTGACGTTTGTCTTCGTGATTCACTTTTTCTGACGACGTTTGTTTTGGGGATTGATTGTGTGCTGACGTTAGTCTGTGATTAACTTTGTGCTGACGTTTGTGTCTGTGATTAACTTTGTGCTGGCGGTTTTTTTCCCCATAGAATTAATTATGTGTTGTGTCTTTGTGATTAATTTTTTGCTGTGTCTATGATTAAGTGTGTGCTAAAGTTTGTCTTCATATGTGGAACTTTAAGCTGATAGTTATCTGTGATTAACTTTGTGCTGACATTTTTATAGGATTAATTTTGTGTAGTGTCTTGGTGATTACTTGTGTGCCATGTCTGTCATAAACTTTGTGCTGACGTTTGTCTGTGATTAACTTTGTGCTGACTTTTGTCTGTGAATAACTTTGTGCTGACTTTTGTCATTGTGATTAACTTTGTGCCGACTTTTGTCTTTGTAATTAACTTTGTACCGACGATTGTCTTTGTAATTAACTATGTACTGACGTTTGACTCTGTGATTACCTTTGTTCTGACGTTTGTTTTTGTGATTCACTTTGTGCTGACGTTTGTCTTTGTGATTAACTTTGTATTGGCGTTTGACTTTGTAAATAGCGTTGAACTGACGGATGACTTTGTGATAAACTTTGTTCTGACGTCTGTTTTTGTGATTTATTTTGTGCTGACGTTTGTGTTTGTGATTAAATATGTACCGAAGTTTGTCTTTATGATTCACTTTTTGCTGACGTTGTCTTTGTGATTGACTTTGTATTGACGTTTACCTTTGTGATTTACTTTGTGCTGACGTTTGTCTTCGTGATTAACTTTGTACTGACGTTTGTCTTTGTGAATCACATTGTGCTGACGTTTGTCTTTGTGATTAACTATGTACCGACATTTGACTTTTTAAATAGCGTTGTTCTGACGTTTGGCTTTGTAGATAAGTTTATGATGACGTTTTATTTTTAGATTAACTTTGTCCTTTTGTATCTTGAATCTTTGTGATAAATTTGTGTGCTGACATTCGTTTTTGATTTAATTTGTACTGGCAATTTTCTTTGTGTTCACCTGTGTGCTGACGTTTGTTTTTAGGATTAATTGTGTGCTGAAATTTGTCTTTGTGATTAACTTTGTGCTGACGTTTGGTTTTAGGATTAATTGTGTGCTGACGTTTGTCTTTGTGATTAACTTTGTGCTGACGTTTGTTTTTAGGATTAATTGTGTGCTGACGTTTGTCTTTGTGATTAACTTTGTGCCTACAATTGTCTTTGTGATTTATAACTGTGTGCTGACGTTTGTCCCTATTATAAACTTAATATTGATGTTTGTCTTTGTGATGAACCTTTTGCTGACGTTTGTGTTTGTGATTAACTTTGTACTGACGTTTTCTTTTGTCATCATCTTTGTGCTGACGTTTATCTTTGTGATTAATTGTGCACTGAAATTTGTCTTTGTGATTAACTTTGTGCTGACGTTTGTTTTTAGGATAAGTTGTGTGCTGACGTTTGTCTTTGTGATTAACTTTGTGCTGACGTTTGTTTTTAGGATTAATTGTGTGCTGACGTTTGTATTTGTGATTAACTTTGGGCTGACGTTTGACTTTGTGAATAAGTTTGTGCTGACGTTTGTCTTTGTGACTAACTTTGTACTGACGTTTGTCTTTGTGATAAACTATGCACCGACGACTGACTTTGTGAATAGCTTTGTACTGACGTTTGACCTTGTAGATACGTTTGTAATAACGTTTGTTTTTTAGATTAACATTGTCCTGACGTTTGTTTTTGTGATTACCTTTGTACTGACATTTGTCTTTGTGATTCATTTTGTACTGACGTTTGACTTTGTGATTATCTTTGTGCTGACGTTTGACTTTGTGATTAGCTATGTATTGACGTTTGTCTTTGCGATTAACTCTGTACTGACGTTTATCTTTGTGATTGACTTTGTACTGATGTTTGTCTGTGATTCACATTGTACTGACGTTTTTCTTTGTGATTCACTTTGTGCTGACGTTTGTCTTTGTGATTAACTTTGTGCTGACATATGTTGCTGTGATTAACTTTGTGCTGATGTTTGTCGTTGTGATTATCTTGGTGCTGACGTTTTTCTATGTGATTCACTTTATACAGACATAAGTCTTTGTGATGACGTTTGTCTTTGTGATTAACTTTGTGATGACTTTTGTCTTTGTGAATAACTTTGTACTGATGTTTGTCTTTGTTATTAACTTTGTTCTGACGTTAGTGTTTGTGAAAACCTTTGTGCTGACGCTTGTGTTTGTGATTCTCTTACTGCTGACATTAGTCTTTGTGATTAACTGGGTACTGATGTTCGGCTTTGAAATTAGCTTTGTACGGACGTTTGTCTTTATAATGACAATTGGCTGACGGTTGTCTTTGTAATTAACTTTGTGCTGACGTTTGTTTTTGTAATTCACTTTGTGCTGACGTTGTCTATGTGATGAAGTTTGTCTTTGTACAGACATTTGTCTTGGTGATGAAGTTTGTCTTGTGATTCACTTTGTGCTGACGTTTTTCTTTGTGAATAATATGATAAGGACGTTTATCTTTGTGATTAATTGTGTACTGACGTCTATCTTTGTGTGAATAAATTTGTGCTGACGTTTGACATTGTGAATAACTTTGTGATGACTTTTGACTTTGTGATTCACTTTGTGCTGACGATTATTCTGTGAATAAATTTGTGGTGATGTTTGTCTTCGTGATTAAATTTATACTGACGTTTTTGTTTTTGAATAATTTTGTACTGACGTTTGTCTTTGTGATTCACTATGTGCTGACGTTTTTGTTTTTGATGGGCTGTGTGCTGACCTTTGTCTCTCTGGGAATAGTTTTGTTTGACCTTTGTCTTTTTGAATGACTTTGTGTTAACGTTTGTCTTTGTAATTAATTGTGTACTGACGTTTGTCTTTGTGTTCAACCGTTTGCTGGCATTTAATTTTTGTTTGTATGAATCATGTGTGCTGACGCTGGAACAAATAAACAAAATGGTTGTGATAATATTTATATATCATAAATCCTTCCACGAGAAAGACTTGATTTTAATTAGGTTTTACGGAGCATGAAAATTATATAATTATTTATCTGATTTTGAAAAGAATACACGTTACATTTATTGGGTTGCAGTTCAATAGCTCCACAAGTTCATGAACACAAGTCGTAAATTCGACGTTACCATTTGTGTATCCATTACTTTATGTAGAATAGACTTTGACCAGTTGCTCTTGTAATTGTACTTGTTTGGTTTTAATAAGTCAATATATAATGAGACAAACGTAGCCACTTCTTGTAATAGATGCAATGATTTTTTATACTATAGACATTTGATATCAACCAATGAATAAAAAGAGATAAAATTAATGTGATAGCATCTCAACAGCACAAATACAACAAAAGAACAAAGAACAACAAGCATCTTAAGATTTTTAATGATATTTATTTATGTTAAAGTAAGACTTTTTTATGCAATGAAATAACCAGAAAACATTGACCAATCACGTCCAAGCATATATTCTCCACTTCGGTTGTCTTTCTTTATGAAAACCCTGTCTCCTCTCTTCAGTTGTAAGACGGCGTTGGCAGTTCCAGTCGAGTAATTGTTGCCAAAGAGTTTTTCTTTCATAACATCATTGACCCATAGCTCACAATGCAAGTACTTTGTAGCAGTTGATCTTATTGTAGCAGATATCATATAAAGTCCGTTCCTTGGTGGCGTAAATACTCCAGTACTAGACGAGTAATGTCCACCAACATTTGTCTTCACGGAGTCAAATTTTATGATTTGATTGAGTGGCGGAGTAAAATCCTTTGACAAAGTTGCAGTGAAAGCTGGGATAGACGTCTGACCTAAGAGAATATAATAAAGACAAAAAAATATGTTAGTTATTTTAGTATATTCTCGTATTTGATGATGCTTCTCCTGTGAAAACACATCGAAGATATCAGGCTTAAACTGCAATGTAAATTACTGATAATCATTTATATCGTGAATACCAATTTTCGAGAATTTAGGAAAAAGTGTATTTTGTGGTTTTGACAAATTTTGCAGGCAAGCTTTTTCGTCAAACTTTGATATATCAGGAAACGAATCATTTTTTGACTGATTTTAATCATTAGCTTGAAAACGAATACCTGGACCCCTCTTTTTTAAAATGACATTTGACTTGATTATGTATGACGATTACTTGTACCAATTTTTATGAAGAAATCACTAATGGTTTTTTTTTTAAATGGATAAATATACTGCAAAAAATCCCAGTTTTTCCTAAAATCATGAAAAAATAATAAACATTTGCTACTTCCAGAGAATTGTTACACAAACTTAGAATATGCTTATGTAAAGACGATATTCCAAATGTTTTTACAAGAAACTGCTTGTTATTATCTTTCGAAACAAAAAAGTTAGGTATGCCTGCTCAAAGGATGAAAATGTCCAATAAACCGAAATTTTGAGTAAATGTCTAAAATTTCGACACTATTTATCACTAAAAGTAGCACATGAAGGTATATTTTTCATTACATATTTGAATTGACTGTGTAAAGAATAGCTTGTATGCAAAATCATAAAAATAAAGATATCACCGTGGGATCAAAACTGTATCGTATGCTCTTAATTAAACTCAAGCAAATGGTTCCAAATACTTAAGTTTTATTAAAGTTATAAGCACTAAAATAAATGATCAAATTGCATTCATTGATACAAAAAATTAAAATAATAAATACGATTAGTCTAACATGTAATTCAAACGTAGCAAACTGACTACAGTATCTGTGTTTTTTTTTAAACGATTCTAAGATGTGTATAACAAGTGCAACATGCATATATAGAAGGATATGACATTCTGGTGGATCAAACCAGTTTAAAAGTTTATATGCCAGACGTTTTGCGATTCTCATGCCTTATATTACGTCGCGATGTTTTCTAAAGAATACACTGTATGTATATGCCGGTTGGACTAGTGGTAAGGGATGATCAAATCAAGCAATACTTTTAATTTTTGTCTTTTTTAGATGTTAGGTAATACATATACAAATCTGATGAGACAAGTCATTTCAAACGGGTTTTTTACAGTCACTGTTATCAGGTTGTGCTGTTACACGAGTTTAAGGGGGTGGTGTAAACACATACAACCTACTTCTTAATTCGTGTACGATGTCTATAATTTTATATAATTACGTACTTCAATTCGACGATCTTAGATCGAAGTGATTTAATAATTTAGATTTCTGAGATTATTTATATGGAATCAACTATTAGAACATAAGTATATGTTTTATAAAACCCGAATGATAATTCCAATACACAAGGAAATAATACAAAGGCCAAGCATATGGTAGAAATATTTCGATATTCTACACATATGTTCAATTTTAAATTCATTTTTTTATTACTCTTGATATTCTCTCTGTATTGTGTAGAACAACGATACTGCTAAATGTACAACTAATTACCTGCTCCAAAGTCTCCACTTTTCTTTATTTTGAAGATAATGTTTTTTAAATCTTCAATTATCTCTTGTTCTGTTTGATAGAAAAAAAAATCACAACTTTAATAGCTAATAAGAAGGAGAATTTTGTTAATAAATATATTTGACAATGCTTTATAAACGTGTTTGCCATTCTTATCATGGAAGAAACAAATAAACAAAAAAACAAGATAGATGTAAATTCCAAAAAGAATGTATAGCAATTTTGCTTTATAAAATAAAAAATAAGGAGATATGGTTTGATTGCCAATTAGACAACTGTCCACAAAAGTTTAGATGAAGTCGATGTAAGCAATTATAGCAACCGTACGGCATTCAACAATGAGAAAAACCCATACCGTATAGTCAGCTATAAAAGACCATTTATGAATTTACAAATTCATAAACTGGGCCAAATTTGATACTTGTTATTTCTGACGTATTGTTAGTCTTTACTGTTGGATTTGTGTGTGCGAATTTTATAGTAATGCACAAGAAACGATCTATAATGATAAAGGAAATGTGAGATATACAAGACATTGACCCTGCAATACAATTTAATAAAAAATAGACATAAGTCAGTTGTAATGTAGCATTCTACGACACCTTTTCATAAAATTATTATTCATATGTTATTCATCTAGCTGAACTAATTAGTTTTCAATCATGAAAATACTTGCAAAACCGCACATGAGGTACACATTTATATCGATATTGCATTTATAGGTCCGTTGTTATAATTATGTTCATGATGTTTATAACAGTTAAGAGACGTGAACATGACAAACAATTGAAGAAGAAACGACATTAAAGGGAACCAGTGTAATCCCTGTACATAAGCTATTAATCGAGTTCGAAAGTGTCTGCAGCAAGTTAAGACGACAATGTGTCTTTCATCTTTTGTTAGTTGTATGTGTGCATCGTTCCGATTTGAGTTTAAACCTTTCCAACTGATTTTAACAGTTTGTTCTTAAATTTTGCTGTTACACTACTGTCCCATGATAGGAAAAGACTAAGCGCTCGCAGACATGTTTAACATTGCCACATTCTGTATGTGCCTGTCCCAAGCCAAGAGCCTGTAATTCAGTGAATGTCGTTGGTTACTGTTTGTCATATTTGTTATATCATAAATAAAGCCGTTGGTTTTCTGGTATGAATTGTTTTACATTTAGCCATGTCGATGTCTTTCATGGCTAACTAGACGGTATGGGTCTTGCTAATTGTTGACGACCATATGGGGACCTATAGATGCTTACATCCACGTCATTTGGTCTCTGGTGGGTAGTTCTCATTGGCAATCATACCACATCATCTCCTTTTTTTACATTGTTAGTTAATACTGACATTTGTGAATTACATTGGAGTTTAGAACATATGTTTTTTAATACTCGTATCATTCTTTTTTATCGTTTGACTGTTTAGATAATAATTGACCTATACTTACTATTGCACTGAACAAGATTTCCATTCCAAAACAAACTTGCCAGGAGAACACCAAAAATCATGTCTGCAGTTGTATTATCTCAGCTCAGACAACAAAAACATAGAGCTTTTTTCAAACTATTAAAAATTCTCTTTGAGGTATAGAATTGTAGCAGCTGTTAAGGAATATAATATGATTGAATGTTAACCTATGGACATTGCGTGATGCATAACTTGTCAATATTTCAGTCGTGTTTTGCTCAAAGTTTTGTTAAAATACCTGTCCAACGAAAAATAACGTACAAATAAACAAAGATTGAAGCTTTTGCTAGATGGTTTGAATTTTCATATCACGAATGGGCATGAAATGGATTTTGATGTCCTTTAAAATATGAATTATTTTTCTTGTCAAAGTTGATGTATCTAAATCAGGCGAAATGATAGATAAAATTTTACAAAACAAACGACTTAAATTCCTTTGAAAATTAAACCTGTAAAGCAGCGGGCCCATTCGATGTCTACAACTACATGATTTTTACCCATTACTTATAAAATTGTAATCAGCTATTTAGTCGTAAAACGTAAAAAGTTGTGCTAGTATAATTTTTCGCCGATTCTTGCCGATTTTTGTTTAACAACAAGCCTTCGTCACTTTATCAATATTCGCAAATAAATAAATCTCTCACAGAAATGGAAAATAATAAACGGACAAGTGAAAATGTCTTAACAGTCATTGATTGTTAAAGCTTTGATGACTTTTTTGTACATACTTTTCCCTAGAGATAAGAGTGACATCATCATGAATCACGTTTTAAGGTTAACAAAACCTTAAACTTACAAAGTGTCATTTCCACGTGTTAAGGAACAAGATGTAAATTACCAGACTTCATACAACCTTTGAAATCATGTACACACATGATTTAGCTTTATAATTTACGATGTATAAATACTATAATCAGTATTGATGATACGAATATACGAAAATATGACCAATTATCGGTAAATTAGTCAAAAATCGATGAGATCATAGACCGTTAAATTGCCAATTTCTGTAATTAACCGCGTTTACAGGTTCTACTCTGAGTATTTGACCAATGTTTGTAATACATTGGTTTATCATTTCTACTCAAAGTTACAGACTTTCGTTTCATGTATATGAATTTGAGCACTCCCGACGAGAAAAAAATCCATATCCGCATATGTTGCATCAGATAAGGTTTATATTCTAATTGTTAATTGTGTGTACCTCCGTAGTACGAAATTATGTACGGCATTATTGAATGATATTTTCGGTAGATATTCTGTGATTACATGGTATTCCATTCAAATATATATTATGTCTCGTTAAAAAGTAAAAAAAAAAGAAGCAAAGGACCAACAACATAAAAGAAAATCATTGAAAAAAAACCAAACAAACCAGCAAATATAGTTAAAAAAAAACTTTAAAAATTCAAGCTTCCTTATTCTAAAGGCAAAGCAAACGGCAAGTTTTTTTTTTGTACTGTTTTTGCACTTTAATGCTATTTCAAAACCATTGGGTAATGGAATGACTGAAAAAAAGTTTCATCCGAGAAAAGGTATCAAAAACAATCCCTTATCTTCTCAATATCATTGATATATATTCTGTACAGGATCAATGCTACTCCCATCGGACTTTTTATTTAATATGTTATTATCAGGCTTGTTCTATACTACTGACAAACATTGAATCTCAAGGAGCTTACACTGAAATATACATATCAACACGATGAATGTATACAAACAAGTAAAACCAGCACTGAGGACCAGAATGAACAAAACCAAGCACACATGAATCAATTTACTTTTTACTTCATGTTCAATAAAGATTTAATTGGAAAAAAGAAATAAAGAGACACCAGGGGGGAATGCAAATCTAAAGCCAAAGAAGGACAGACTATACAATGGACAAAATAATAGAACAACAGTACAAAGAAAACTGTAGATTGAGCAACACGAACCTAGTTAATAGCAAACACATATGCGCCAGAAGTTATGTGAAATGATGTCTATCTTTGATTACTTAAAAGGAGTTCGTGTTGCACTTGTTTTACTTTTTAATATTGTTCCTTGTGCATTTTAATTTTCTAATGCTTGTGGTGTTTCTACCGATAACAGTCTTGCATATCCCAAAAAAAGTGTTTCTATTTCACATTCGGTGAAGTTTAAGTGCAAGAAGTTTTACACGACCGAATTTTTTTATGTCTTAGGGTTGGAAAAGAGTCAATTACCAATCCGCGATTGCGCCCTCTGGGAGCTTTGGTGACCTTCTTTCACATCTTCATCATCTGCTAGGGTTGCATTACATTAGAACTATTCTTTTTTCACTGCCTGTTAAATTTCTAAACTTTTTGAGAGATTATGCACTTGACAAGGGATGAATAAATACATTTTCTCCAATATACATAATGGTCAGTATAATTTGTGATGTAGCTCTTTTCCGTCTTTTTAAGCAAGTTAGACCGGAAACTTTACATGATGAAAAGAGGTAATTCCTTCCATTTCAGTTTTCTAATAAAAGAATTGATTCAATCAACATCAGCAACGTTCTTCATCACAAGGAGGTAACATCTAAAATCCCACTTTATTTTCGAAATCAGTCTGTCCCTTTTGTATCCTACAGTTACACCAAAACCATTGCACCTAAAGTATTTAATTATAAGCAAGCATTGCAGGACCTAGATTTAGAAGAATACCTAAAAAAACCTCTGGCATGTGACTGTTCCCACTCGCCTTATATTTAAAGCCCCTCTGGCCATGTTATTACTGGGGATATAAACATAATTCGACGTGAACATCTCCGAAAGGTAATATCTCATGGTCTTAAGTTCAGAGAACCCCAACACATCAATTGGAACCATAACTTCAAAATAATTATAGTTTCCATTGAGGACTAAACCAGAGCATGGGCTAAACGAGAAGAAGTTGAACTGGAACCTTTGTCAGAATGGGTCAAAACAATCAGGTCTCTGATTAAACGTCGAACTCGAAAGTTGAAAAACTGTGTGAATGATCGACCAAAGTCCGTTTTCAGAGAATAGAAGCTGTAAAATGTCTATTATCTCTTCATGATCAAAATATGTTTGTTCCTGGGGACAAAGCTTCAAATAATATTGTCTTTGTATGTACATCGCACTACTACAAGTGTCTTGTAAAAGAATTAGGAATAAGTGAGCACTCAGGTACTTCCACATTAAAAAACACATCATTTGACAAGGATGAGATTTTGGCAAATCATAAGTCCTTCATGGCTTCAATGAACATTACATTGAACAGCAAATCTGATGACTTACCTTGTGTGTATTGGATATCCAACCTCACAAAATTCCGTACAAACAACGGTACATTGCCGGCTGATCTGCATGTTCTACAGAAGAATTGTCCATTAGATTGACAAAAAATCTGTCCGTAGTGAAAAAGGGTCTTCAGAAATACTGTGAAACTGTTAACTGGCGTAGTGGTATTAACCATATGAGGATTCTAAAAACTCTAAAGAACTTCTGGATAATTTAAAATCTCGATCTTTCTCTGAAATTAATTCTGTCAAAACTTTTGATTTTTCAACCCTGTATACCACCATTCCCCATGTGAAAATGAAAAATCGTCTAAAAGAATAATCCACAATTCTTTTCAATATACAAATGGTAGCATACGTTATAAATTTATTACTTTGGGATAACATACGGCATATTTTGTTAATAGTGAACGAAAAGGTAAAACATGCTACACAGAGGAACAAGTGATCAGTATGCTGGAGTTCTTATTGACTACATATTTGTTGAATTTGGAGGTAGACTTTTTCAAAAAATTGTCGGCATTGCTATGGGAACGAACTGTGCAGATCATTTACTTTTACATTCAGATATATTGATGATGTTTTTTCCATTACTAATTCAAAATTTTCTGATTGAGATCCATTAATATATCCTACAGAACTAGAAATTAAAGAAACAACAGACACGGCTTCCTCCGCCTCATTTTTAGACTTATACCTCGAACTTGACATAAGCGGTCATCTCAGTACCATAATCTATGACAAACGAGACGATTTTGATTCACTTTTTGCTGACGTTGTCTTTGTGATTGACTTTGTATTGACGTTTACCTTTGTGATTTACTTTGTGCTGACGTTTGTCTTCGTGATTAACTTTGTACTGACGTTTGTCTTTGTGAATCACATTGTGCTGACGTTTGTCTTTGTGATTAACTATGTACCGACATTTGACTTTTTAAATAGCGTTGTTCTGACGTTTGGCTTTGTAGATAAGTTTATGATGACGTTTTATTTTTAGATTAACTTTGTCCTTTTGTATCTTTAATCTTTGTGATAAATTTGTGTGCTGACATTCGTTTTTGATTTAATTTGTACTGGCAATTTTCTTTGTGTTTACCTGTGTGCTGACGTTTGTTTTTAGGATTAATTGTGTGCTGAAATTTGTCTTTGTGATTAACTTTGTGCTGACGTTTGGTTTTAGGATTAATTGTGTGCTGACGTTTGTCTTTGTGATTAACTTTGTGCTGACGTTTGTTTTTAGGATTAATTGTGTGCTGACGTTTGTCTTTGTGATTAACTTTGTGCCTACAATTGTCTTTGTGATTTATAACTGTGTGCTGACGTTTGTCCCTATTATAAACTTAATATTGATGTTTGTCTTTGTGATGAACCTTTTGCTGACGTTTGTGTTTGTGATTAACTTTGTACTGACGTTTTCTTTTGTCATCATCTTTGTGCTGACGTTTATCTTTGTGATTAATTGTGCACTGAAATTTGTCTTTGTGATTAACTTTGTGCTGACGTTTGTTTTTAGGATAAGTTGTGTGCTGACGTTTGTCTTTGTGATTAACTTTGTGCTGACGTTTGTTTTTAGGATTAATTGTGTGCTGACGTTTGTATTTGTGATTAACTTTGGGCTGACGTTTGACTTTGTGAATAAGTTTGTGCTGACGTTTGTCTTTGTGACTAACTTTGTACTGACGTTTGTCTTTGTGATAAACTATGTACCGACGACTGACTTTGTGAATAGCTTTGTACTGACGTTTGACCTTGTAGATACGTTTGTAATAACGTTTGTTTTTTAGATTAACATTGTCCTGACGTTTGTTTTTGTGATTACCTTTGTACTGACATTTGTCTTTGTGATTCATTTTGTACTGACGTTTGACTTT